TCTGATTTTTTTTAAAAAATGTTTATGAATCCTTGTATGTTCCCACATTTTTTTGGGGGGAAGCCTTTTGTTTCTCTGCAGAGTCCTTTTAGGTGCAATTTTGGTTGTTGAAGTTGGCAATATTCATGTAGTTTGATCTTAGATCTGACTTAAGGAACTCATCGTGTTTCCATCAAAGAATGGGAAAGCATTAGGAATTATTTTCCTGGCTTTGATTAAAGCATGACTGTAATAAGCTCTGGCTTTACTTTCACGTGTTTATTAAAGCATCTGTGGAGTGCTCCTCATATTCAGCTATGTTCATAGGCAGTCTTATTCAGACTACCGTTGTGACATTTCTCTCTTGTCCTGTATGTATTAAGTCTACTTCTGAATTTGTAAGGCTAATAATAACAATAACAACAACAACAATAACAACAATAATAATAACGTTGGAAAGGACCTTGGAGGATGTCTAGTCCAACCCCCAGTTCAGGCAGGAAACCCTATACCATTTCAGACAAATGGTTGTCCAGTCTCTTCTTAAAAACTTCCAATGTTGGAGCATTCAGAACTTCTGGAGGCAAGTCGTTCCACAGATTAATTGTTCTAACTGTCAGGAAGTTTCTCTTTAGTTCTAGGTTGCTTCTCTCTTTGATCAGTTTTCATCCGTTGCTTCTTGTCCTGCCTTCAGGCACTTTAGGGAATAGCTTGACTCCCTCTTCTCTGTGACAGCCCCAGAGATATTGGAAGGCTGCTATCATGTCCCCCCCTTGTCCTTCTCTTCATTAAACTAGACATACCCAATTCCAGCAACCATTCTTTATATGTTTTAGCCTCCAGTCCCCTGATCATCTTTGTTGCTAATGATGATCCCTGTTGCACCAACCCTGAATATTAATAAGACCAGATCTGAGGTGGTTGTCTCTAGGAAGAGACAAGCTAGATATAAATGGAGACTGGATGAACAACCAAGAAAGGCAAGGTAAAGGAATCCCTGTGGAATATTCTCTGGTAGTCGTTGCCAACTATAAGGGGTGGTGCTCATCTCCGTTTCAAGGCCATTGAGCCAGTGCTGTCCAAAGACATTTCTGCAGTCATGTGGCTGGCATGATATCATGGAGCGCTGTTAACTTCCCACTGAAGTGGTACCTATTCATCTACTCACATTTGCATGCTTTCAAACTGCTAGGTTGACAGGAGCTGAGGCATGTAAAGGGAAGATCACCCTGTTGTGTGGCGCTCGGGTCTTGAACCCGGGCTGCCCGCTTTCTCTAATGTGCCTTGTCAAGCATAACTATTTGAGAACTTTGCACCTGTCCAACTTTGCACACATCTGAATGTACTTTGGCTTCCCAAATTTTCAAAACCACCTTACAATGTGGAATTCCAATCCAATTTCTAGCACAAGCAGGCCCAGATATTAAGAAAATTGTCAAGCAAAGGATTGATGATGTTGCTACCCAAGAGAATATTACATCACATAAATGTACTAAATCTTGGCTATGGCTGGCTAGATGCAAAATTCTCTATCATACTAAAAAGTATTTAACAATTTGTATACCCCAGTACCGTAGACAAGCTTCTACCAGCTCTGGTTAAGCTTGGTAGGTTTTACAAAGTTACTTATCAGAAAAGATTGTGCATATATAATATACATGACTTTGAAGTTATTGCTCATGCGTTTATATGTTCTGGAAAGGGCTAATCAATTGAAATCTCATATAAAATTTAAGATTTTTTGGAAGGCCATGGTTCAATTATAGCACTTACTGCAGGAAATCAGACTGTTGGTTATTTTCTGTATAAAATGGTCATTTGAATATGTGCATCTCACTCTATAGAGGTTTGCTACATTCCTGCTTGTCACATGTTTATATTAAAAAACACACAAATACACAATGAGAATAAGAGAAGTAGGCAAAAGACTAAAGTGAATAGCAAAATGAGAAGCAAATATGAAACTATTAATTCATTGCACAACATACTGAATATTATTGGCTCCAACTCTTTCAGAATAAACACAACTAGTTAAGGGTAATAAGGAAGAATATAACTATCTGAATGATTGGTTCATAATTGGAGTATATTTTTTTTCATATATATCTATATAGCAATTATATATTTAGCAAAGTATCAGCTCATCTATTTCACTTGCCATGATGATTTAAATGATTTGTTGTGGTTTAGTTTTTAAAATTTGTAGCAACATACTTCCATTAATAGATATATGGTAGCCTATAAGATATATGAAGAGCTTATGCTTATATTTAGAGTTCACTTCAAATAAATTAACTGAAAAACTAATTCTTTAAATAAATAACTTTTAGAAACTCAGATACCCGTTCATAGCTTTGCTGATGAAGCATCCCTTGAACCTACGTTTCTCTAGAAGAAAATGTTCATCAAGGTTGGCTTGTAATGTGTAGCTCTGCCCTCAAGAGTCTGCCAGCTAATTATCTGCCATGCATTATGTATGATTCCTTGGACTAGTTTACAGGTTTGAGCAGCAATTACTGAGTGACAGAGAAGCATTTGTGTAAACCAGGATGAGGAAACAGCACTCATTTACTTGATTATAGCACTGTGAGTGTTGAGACTGGCAAGGTACAGAGAAAAAGAGACTCCTATTAGACAATGTTCTTATGTAAACCTGGCATGTGCTTTTCATATTTTAGTCAGGCAAGGGAGTAGTCCATAGTCCATTACCAGAAAAGGATGGGAGAAAGAGATCCATTGTGGCAGACTCTCCAGCCCAGGGGTAGGCAACCTTGGCTCTTTTATGACTCATGGACTTCAATTCCCAAGACAGTTATGCTGGCTTAGGAATTCTGGGAGCTGAAGTCCATGAGTCATAAAAGAGCCAAGGTTTCCTACCCCTGATCTAGCCAGACTGGAGGCAGGTCTTAGGAAGTGGAAGAGCTTAACGTCCTTGCACTGGAGAAAGAGGCATAGGACTGATAGGTACAGAATCCCTGAGCCTTATCTGACCATTCCCGAGGCAATGCAGCCAGTCTGGTGAGATTCTTGTAACGTAGGTAACTAATAACGACGTTTCTGCTTGAGAATTTTCATGAGTGCTTCTGGTTGCTTAATGTCTGTGGAAATTCTCAGTCATCCAGGTCATGGTTGTCCCAAAGGTGCTTTTTCAAAAGGCAACTGGACTTTGTTTTTTTCTGTGAAGATGTTTTGCTGAGAAGCATCTTCAGTTCTGACTGAATGGTGTGGAATGGAAGGATTTATATTCCTTGCAGTCACCTGGTCGTTAGCACTCTTTCTGAGAGTTGTTGAGGCTTATCTGTGCCCCCAGGGTCACCCAAATAGTGCGAATGCGTGTGGAACCTTCTTGGAACTACCGAAAGGACTGTGTTGTAAACAGGAGATCGGTGGTGTCATATCCTTCCTCTCTGTTGAAAGAGAGCTGTTCAATCTTAAGGTAGACGGTCTCTTTGACCTGGTTACTTTCACCTGGCATCTAAAAGTTAAATTCTGTGAATTCTAACACTCTCTCTCACACATGCAAGAGATGTGTTTAGATTTCTGTCTTAACAAAATTAGGGAATGGAAATAAAATCTTCAGCATAGATATAACACTAAATTTTCAATAAAGTTTTTTTTAAAAAATTATGCTGAGTCTGGAAGTTTCTTCTGCTAAGTAGGGATTGGTAAGTGCTGAAGAGTTAAATCTGAAGCTGTACTTTCAAAAAGCTTGCTGTTTCAATGCATTGCCCTCCTCCCTGTCCACCAGCACCACCACAGTGTACATGCACACACACACACATATTCATTCCCCTATGTAGTGTGTCTGCTAACGCAGGGCTGGGCAGATGGATGGAGCAAAAATCATGATTATGCAGTATCTTTAGGCATATGGTTGCTGCATGCAGCAGTTTCTTTATTTGGAAACCCCAATTGACTCTCATATTCCAGAGTTAGTAGCTCAACCTTTTTTTTTTTACTGTTATTGTAAAAGCAGCATAGAAGGCTGTCTATGCAATAATGTTCAAGACTGGAAATTCCTTATGTTTCTCATTTTCCAGTTGACTGCTTATTTTTCCATTAGTGGGGGCTGACATCCTGCCTTAAGTAGGCTTTGTTAACTTTCCTTATTCTTCTCAGAATTATCAGAATTAACAATATTTGGAAAAGCTTTCCTCCTGAAAATTAGTCCCTCTTCAGCAAGTGGTGCTGATAAAATTATATATCTATCTCCTTCCATCCCCCACCATCCAGTTATAACTGATGAAGCTTCTTGGATCAGAAGCATATTGTCTTCCTCTTCTTCCTCAAATAAAAAAACAGCCCAGTTGCTTTTTGAAAAGAAGAAAAAAAGCACATTTGAGATAACTATGACCTGGATTATTGAGAATCTCCACAGGTATTTTTTCAGACAGTCTTGAATACTGAAAGCAGATTCCTAGATAATTTAAAGTTAAACCTCCTTTAGTCCATTCTTTTTCCCTACCTTTAGAATACAATTATAATTAAAATATTCTTTTTTGGCCAAGTGTGATTGGACACACAAGGAATTTGTCTCCGGTGCAGAAGCTCTCAGTGTACATATAAGCAACAAAGTGATAAAGCATAAGATACTAATATTGAAAATATGGAGAAACATGAAACATCCTGTAGAAATCTGTCACATATAAGCCTTACTGATCACAAAATAAGTAGTGCTGACTTAACCCCCAAATCTATAGCCTTTCATACAATCACTTTGTCGAAAAAGCCAATTCACTAAAATAATAAAACCCCTCCCTTACCCCCAGCAAAATAAAAATGAAGTCCTAACATATATTCAACCTACAAGATACAAGTGAATACTTATACAAATGGAAGCAGGGAGGTTTTGCCTAAAATGGGGACTGTTCTCAGACAATGGAAATGTTTCACTTATAAACCCTGGATGGAAATTAATCTAGAAAATAAATATATTCCTTGGCTGTTTATTAAGTGCATCTTTCTCTTTCTCTCCCCCTACCCTCTCCCCACTACCCCTCTCTCCCCTTTCCTCTTTTTAGACAGAAAAGCTCTTCATGAAATAAACCCCCAAAGTAAGTTTCTCTCTTGTATATGTGTTTTCTAAGACCCCGTTTTTTAAAAAATATACATATACTGTATATTTATTAAAATGTCAGCATCAGGCTAATTGTAAATGGCTCGGTTGAAAAAAGATACAAAACTAATGCGTGCAGAATTTTGTTTTCTTATTAACTTCTTCAAAGTTGCTTTGTCCTACCAAAGAGGCATTCTCATTCCAAATTATTTTGAGGGGTGATGGTAGAGTAGAGTTTCTTGTTGCAAGATGGTTGAAATGGTTATTACTTGTCTATCAGTCTATGGCCTTCTTGGCTATCCATTTCTCCTGTTCAGCAAACATGGGATAAGAACTGCAAAGTGTTGGAGAAAAATCTGAAATTCAGCAATCTGTCTTGTGCAAGCCTTTTTGTTCAAACAATCCTTCTTAATAGAATAACCGAGTTGGAAGGGACCTTGGAGGTCTTCTAGTCCAACTCCCTGGTCAAGCATAGACCTTATACCATTCCAGACAAATGGCTGTCCAATCTCTTCTTAAAAGCCTTCAGTGATGGAGTATCACAACTTCTGAAGGCAAGCCATTCCACTGATTAATTGTTCTCACTGTCAGGAAATTCCTCTTTAGTTCTAGGTTGCTTTTTTCCTTGATAAGTTTCCATCGGTTACTTCTTGTCCTGCCCAAAATGCTTTGAAGAATAAATTGACTCCCTCTTCTTTGTGATAACCCCTTAAATATTGGAAGACTGCTATCATGTCACCTATAATCCTTCTCTTCATTAGACTAGAAATTTCCAGTTCTTGCAACCATTCTTCGTATGTTTTAAATTCCTGTCCCCTAATCAGAAAACATCTTGAAGATGTTTCTGTTGCCATAGCTGCACCAGAGGAAGAAATAACAGTATTCAGCTGCATGTGGTAACACACAGTGCAAATTCTTCAAATGAAATGAAAGTTACTCCCAAATGTAAGAGATATACAATATTTTAACAATTTAGTTGTGGAGGGGAGGGGGGGGGAGCCTTGCATTCCAAACAATGAAATAAAAAAATAAATGGAGATTCAGAATTTTGATTTGTTCTAGGAGAAGAACAGTTAAATAGGGCTGTTTGAAAATGCTCATGATTTTGTTTCAACCCTATTAAGGCATTTGGCTTTAGTTAATAATTAATATGAGCAGAGAGGAGTCAAGGAAAACTTGGTGTTATGGTTACTCTGCAAAATTTCTGCAATTTTGTTTTGTGTGTGTGTGTGTATGTATGTATGTGTGTGGTTGTGTCCTTGTGCAGTTTCTGCAAAAATTTAGAATTCTGGAGTGGTGGTGGTGGAAGCATCAACCTTCTAAAATTTGCAGAGATCCAAACAAGAAATAGAGAGAAAGAAAATTACTATTCTGGTTCCCTTCTTACATTGTTCATTTTCTGTTCATTGATTGATTGGCTGGTTGACTGATTCAATTTATTTGGTCATCCATTTCAAACAATACTATGGGCGTGAACAATCGTAAAATCAATGAAAAACCAAATTGCAATCATAATACGAAAAGAAAATTAAATATGTACAGCAGCTGAGAAATATTATAATCCATAGGTGTTAACTTGGAAAAGGAGCCCATCACAGACTTGGGACCCCAAGCCCAGGCAGATAAGCAGGTCTTCAAGCCTTTACAAAAGGCCATCAGGGTCATAGCCATGATAATCTCTGAATGTTAATCTTTAGAATGTTCTAAAGCAGGGATCTTCAAACTTGGCAGCTTTAAGACTTGTGGACTTCAACTCCCAGAATTCTTCAGCCAGCATGGGAATTCTGGGAGTTGAAGTCCAGAAGTCTTAAAGCTGTCATGTTTGGAGACCTCTATTCTAAAAGATAGGAGCTATGACAGAAAAGACACGCCTCCAGTCCTATTGAACCCAGAGCATGCCCATCCTATTGGGTAAAAAAAACAATGGGTGAACATAGTCCCTCAGGTAACCCAATTCCATTCCAGGGATGAGCAATTTTTAAGAGCTCTGGACCACTTTTAAGATTGTTGGAGAGCATTATGTGGATAGCATAACATAAGGAAGGGTTGAAATGGGGGGGATGAGATTCGTGAGAGGGCAGTGACTCAACAAATCTTCAAACTTGGATTATCCAAGACTAGGATTGCAGTGTCATGGTAAAATGATCTTTCCCAATAAAAACAATGATGTTCCTGCAGGAGCGGAAGGAAATTTGCACATATTCTTCATGTCTCAGATATTTTTGGAGCTACACTTGGTAGCTCGTAACCTGTCAGTTTGTCTAATGGATTGCAAGTTCTTTGTTTATCCTCTCCTCATCTTCAGCATCATGATTGTATCCTTAAGAGGGTCAGCTAAACTGATGAGGTTCATTTTAGTTCCTTCAGCTCCCAGGGAACTAAATTATTTATTCTGAACTGGGCAATTAGAGGTGTGTTTTATAAATAAAACTTGTTGCTAGGCTTTTGAACTGAGTGGGCATTAAATTTAAAGCCATATGAATCATCACGGATGCAAAATCAAAGTTAATTATTAAGATAATTGAGAAAAAAAAACAGTTGTGTTAAATAGACTTATATATAACCTTCCCTGGTTTAGAACTCTCTTTCTCACGTGGCAGACGTTCTCCATGGGGGAGGCAAGGAAAACTGAGCGGAGAAGTAGATTTCCATGTTTACCAGCTACAGAAGGGAATCGGAGGAAAAAGAAAGATTTGCAAGAACTGGGTGTAATTGTTTTTTCTCTGGAAGAGAATGAACAATGATTTGGAGATGATATGTACCCAGCACAGCTTGTGTAAAACTTTATTACAAATGAGATAATTTAATCAATTATGCTTCCTAATGCATTAAACCCAAATGTTTCATTTTTGGGCTTCTGCGCTTCTTAATTTATCTTCAGGTATTTTTTATAAAACTTAATCATGCTTAATAAAAACTTCATTACCATAAAAGAATGCTTTCAGATAAATGTCTTTAACGGTGTCAGGAAGCACAATTAAATGCAGGCAGGGTTCAGGCATAATATCAGATGATAGTTTGATAGCTTTGCGTTTATACATTCCTTTTCCTCTTCATGCAGTCTTCTCCTCTTAATCTGAGGCATCCTATAGATGGTAAACTTTCTTTTGTGTCTAACTTGACAAAGCAATTAAAAACAGGAGTTTGGTGATGTTTTTATTATTATTCTGCTTTAAAGGGTAAGTGGCGTGGTGGCTTAGCGGTGAAGACACTCTCTTCCCACTTGGAAGGTTGAGAGTTCAATCTTAGATAGTGGCCGATGTTTCTTTCTCAGGGCACAAAGAGAAAATGCCTGCTATGAACCCCACATAGGTGTCAGGAAGGCATCTGGCCAGTAAACACTCAGCTTCATTCAGTTGCCCCAACTCTATCCTGGATGAAGAGATTACAGGATTGTAAAAAGAAAAGGAAAAAAAAATCTGCTTTAAAGGGCAAATGCATAGAATAGCATTGTGGAATTGGATAGAGCCATATGAATCAATTATGGATACAAATCTAAAACTTGTCAGGTTAGATGAGTGTTTCTCAGCCTTGACAACTGGAAGATGGATAGATTCAATTCCCCAAAATGGGAATTTCGGGAGTTGAAGTCCAGAGATCTTCAAGTTGCCAAAGTTGAGAAACACTGGGTTGGATGAATGAAAAAAGTATAGAAAGGATGATTCCTAGAGTCCTGGTGGTGCAGTAGTGAGAATGCAGTGGTTATAAGGCAGGGTAATTCTGCTGTCTGCCGGCTGCCAGCAGTTCGGCAGTTCGATTCTCACTGGCTCAAGGTTGACTCAGCCTTCCATCCTTCCAAGGTTGGTAAAATGAGGACCCGGATTGTTGGAGGCAAGAGGCTGACTCTGTAAACCACTTAGAGAGGGCTGTAAAACACTATGAAGCACTATATAAGTCTAAGACTAAGTGCTATTGCTAGTGAGTACCTACTTTGGGTGGGGACAATCCCAGTTTCAATCTTTGTTACCTGCAAACAGAAGAACCCCACTATCAATTTAGATATACTGAAGATTGAAGGCCATCTCCATATGTGTCTGTGTTCCTGTCAAGTGATAGGCTGATGGTAACCAAAAAAGGTCTTAAGGATATGATTTTAGAACACATGAACCTAGTAGTGATATAAGAGTTTTTACAAAGTATCATGAGGGATTTATTTTGATTTTCAAAGTAGGATCTAGGGTTCTCCAGTGATTTCTTTGGAAATAGTAAATTGAGATGAAAAAAAATATTTCTCAGTGAATGTAGCTAATTAGTGTGGGATATAGCTCAATGTTGCTAATTACTGAGGGATAACTCAGATAAAGATCTTCAGATCCAGCAATGTCTCAGGGCATTAAAAAAAAAGTCAGCCTTGACTGCATGACTAAAACCCCACCCCTTTATTATGTGCATTATGCATGACTGTGAAAATCACGTGGGACTTTAATTATGACGACTGTCTTGAATTTGTGTATATCCTGCATACCCCCAGTGGATGTTCCTACATTTGAATTCTGAATAGAATAGAATAGAATAGAATAGAATAGAATAGAATAGAATAGAATAGAATAGAATAGAATAGAATAGATCTGGAAGGGACCTTGGAGGTCTTCTAGTCCAACCCCTTGCTCAGGTAGGAAACCCTATTCCATTTCAGACAAATGGTGGTCCAATCTCTTCTTTAAAACTTCCAGAGTAGGAGCGTTCACAACTTCTGGAGGCAAGTTGTCCCACTGATTAATTGGGATTTGATCTGGCTACCAGAACTGACCAAAAATAAATAATTAACAACCCCAATTTTTGCAGATGACTATCACTAAGAAAATAGCTATCTTAGATAGGTCATGGAGCAAATGTAAATTTCACTAACTTATTCTTCTTTGCTGCATCTTTACTTCTCATTTTCTAGCAAAAAGAAAAAAAGAAAAAAGAAGCACATAAATCAGTGGTCCCAGTGTAAATAAATAACAACAAATGTAGCGCTGTGTACATAAAATATCAACAACTCTACAGTATCCATTTACATGAACAAAATCTTTCTGAACATTCTTTGTGTGTGCATGCATGCGTGTGTTTTCTGTTGCTTGATTTGAAGACGTGAAAAGGAAAGATAGATCCATTTGTGGACTCTGTATTTTTCTTGAAGTGACATTATTTTCAGAATCCTGTGTCACAAGCTGTTGCTGTGACATTGCCTAATTGGGCCCACTGACAAAGATTAATGCCTGTTTTCTATGGAGAGAATTGGAATGGAAGAATAACAGTCAAGAAACAGTCAAAGAAATATAAAGCATCATTTTTTGATATCTTGATGCATTCCTATAGTTAGCTTATTTGGGGCAGATTGTCCTGCCTTGAGGGAGGGTGGGTGGGATGGGCAGATAAAGCTGCCATTTTGTATTTATGTTTATTCTATTTACTACGTTGTGCTTCTCCTGATGGCTTAAATGCGGTGCCTTCTAATTTCTCTACCGATACCTGCTATTGAAGAATTGGCGTACTCTTGAAAGTCCAAGTCTGCCCACTGATTAAAATGGATGGATGGATGGATGACAGATAGACAGACAGACATAGATGGAGAAGGACTTCCCACTCAGATTACCAGCACTATATTTCTCAAGCAAAATGAACTTGAGAGCACAAAGGACAGCTGAGTGAAAAGTAATAAGCCCGTGGTTTTAAACCAGCAAAATAAAACCAATATCCCTCCAAGCTTTTCCATTGGAAAGGGAGCTTTCTGAATAATCTGTCTTATTTTCCTTTCTACCCACTCTCTACCACACAGGCTGTGTTGGAATGGGACAACTGGCCACAGTCAACTCACTGTAGCCAACTCACCGTGGGAGAATTCGCCATGGGAAAATTCAACAAATACAAAAGTTAAATTAATTTCAATGGAACCATGGCCAACAAGAATAAAATAAGAAAGTCAATCAACAAATATAAGAGTTACAATAATTTCAATGAAAACATGGTCACCCATAATAAAAGTAATTAAATGAAACTAATACAGTGTTGAATTGTCCCGTGATGTGTTGTCGCACAATGAATTGTTCCATAGTGAGTTGGCAACAGCTAGTTTGCCACAATGAGTTGGCCATGGTGAACTGGCCCTGGTGAGTTATCCTGGATCAGGGCTGTGTACCCCTCTTCAGAACATGCATCTTAAACAAGTACCTTCAACTTGGGAGATTCATTTGAAGAGGCCATGAGCAAAGGGAAGGCAGAAACACACCTGCTCATTCTTAAACACAGAGATACACTTATTGAATAAATTAGCATCTTTTAAAAAGCCTTCCATTGTCCCTCCCTCCCGGTTCCCTTCCCCCAAGTAGTTAGCTGGACATTTGCAAAATCAGGCACAAGAATCGAAAGGCGTTTCATTTACATTAGAAGAAGATTGAGGTGACCAGGTGTGTCTGATTCAGCGTGCTTAAAGCATTGTCAAGTTCTTTTAAATAACCTGTTATCTTTTTTGGGACCCCTCAGGTCATTGCCTTCTATTTTGGAAGCTTTAATTTGAATTTCTTCTCTAAACTGCAATGCAGGAATGGGTTAAATTGTCCTGCCGATGCTATGATTCTCTAAGGGCATCATGGTTCATATGGATTGGACATATTTTCCAGAGGGCATTATATCGTTGGGAAGGGGGAAAATGGACGCTATCCAGATTTGATGTCTATGGAGATTCTAAGTTATCCAGGTCATGGTTGTCCCAAGGTGCTTTTTGCAAAAGGCAACTGGACTTTGTTTTTCCTTGAAGACATTTCACTTCTCATCCAAGAAGCTTTCTTCAGTTCTGATGGAAGTTTCTTGAATGAAAAGCAAAATGTTTTCAAGGAAAAACAAAGTACCTTTGAGATATCCAGATTTAATGTTTCTCCCATTGCAGAATCCTATAGGAATTAATTACCCATTTTTATTTCCACTTCCCCCTACTTTCTATAGGAAGACCAGGAAAAAAAAACCCTCCACTAATTTAACAGTGCAGGCAGGCTGATCATGGGTAGTGATTTTCCTTCTGAGATAATTATTCCTATTCTCACAATCAAAGCTTCTGCATGATTAAGCTGAACATTGGTTTTGAATTGGCACTAGCAGTCAGGACAGACTGCACTCATTTATGCTATTTCTTCTCTTCTTACAGACATTGAAAACCCAACAGACATCGCCCTGTACTCAGGCCTTGGGGCCGCCGTCATTGCTGTTGCCGTCATTGTTATTGGGGTGACTCTCTACAGGAGGAGCCAGAGTGAATATGGCGTGGATGTGATTGACTCCTCAGCTCTGACAGGAGGCTTCCAGACCTTTAATTTTAAAACTGTCCGACAAGGTTGGTAAAATTGGACAATGACTTTTGGAGGAAGGATCTGATCAGTGGAATTAGGTGACCAGTTTTAAGCTTCCTTGACTTTTCATGTGTGTACTGTATGTGGTGTGGGATTGACTTCCTGCTCATCCCCTTATGCCATATTGATTTTTATTTTATTTATTTATTTATTTATTTGATTTGTATCCCGCCCTTCTCCTTACCGGACTCAGGGCGGCTGACAGCCTTATAAAACCAACATTACAGTAAATATCAATTTAAAACCAGATTAAAAGGAAATATTTGCAGTGGCCTAAAAATTAAAATTTCCCTTAAAAAACCCCACTAAAATTCCCTAGGCCAATCCCGCTTGTTGAAAAAGCCATGTCTTTAGGGCGCGGCGGAAGGAGGGGAGATCCGGGATCACCCGGATCTCTGGGGGTAGTTCGTTCCAGAGGGTGGGGGCTCCCACCGAGAAGGCCCTCGCCCTGGGGGTCGCCAGCCGGCACTGTCTGGCTGACGGCACCCTGAGGAGACCCACTCTGTGATCATGTAAACAAGTAAATTCTTCCTACATTGCTGGGCTTCCTCCGTTAGACAACTGGTAAGTTGTCAGCTTTCTGTATAGGCATAGCAAGCTAATCATGCTTCTAGATATCTTGGTAATATTTCTTACCAAATTCCGGTGAAAATGCATCCCTTTTGAATCAGACAATGGGTGGAATTGAGTCTTCCCTTCCAGTCCGCACATCCATTGAGAAACCACAATGGAATGTAAGCCAGGATGTATAGATGATATAGTTCTAATACAGGGGTCTTCAAACTTGGCAACTTTAAGACTTGTGGACTTCAACTCCCACAATTCCACAGCCAGCCCTGGCTGTTGGGAGTTGAAGTCCACAAGTCTTAAAGTTGCCAAGTTTGAAGACCCCTGTTCTAATACAATCATAACTTAATAGGAGTGGTACATTTTGGTGAATGTTTGGAACAGTCAGCACCAGTGAGTATAGCCACTTGGAGTAGACTTTTGTCCAACATATGCAAAGACATCCATGTAACAAACTCAAGCTGTGTGCTTATTGTTATTATTATTTAAGTACAGCAGCACCACATTTAAAAAGGAGGTTTTGTAAGCATCTTTAAACCCAATAAATTGATTGTGTTTAACTCCTAGATTGCAGTAGTAATAAAGAATACTATTGTAACATCTGATTGATTCAGTGTTAAAAGGTCTGATAGACATCTTCATTGAACAATTGAATGGATTCAGAATTCCTGAACCATTGTTCATTGTTTATTAAATCCCACAGAAATGTTTATATGTTGAGTGGTGAGAAAAAACCCCCACTCAGCTGACTTCGTGTCCTATATAAGTTATATAGTGCATCCCATTGTTCAAGTATCATTATTCAAACTTGGCACTTCTGATCTCAGCTCTAGTGGATCTCTACTTGAAAAAGATGGTCCATTCACGGAGAGTTGAAGACATGAGTAGTGTGTTATATTATATAAAGCCCAATTTGTCAAGTTTAGTCATTGCTTAAATGTATCATCAAACACTCAGGAAACCTTAAATTGTACATTGTGATATTTTTCCCTAAGGACCCTTTTCTTGAAAACTTTATGTAACAAGTTAGAGTTTCTCTTTTCTTTTGAAATAACATTCTGGTTTCTGAAAACCCTGGTGCTAGAAATGTGAAGACAACTATGGTTATTTACTTATATATCCTTAAGAAAGAAAGGAGATTAAAAAAAATCTTTCCATAGAATCATAAAGTATAAGAGTCGAATGAAAGACATCCTGAAGATCATCTGCCCAGAGCAGGGATCCTGTACCAGGGCATTGCCAACAGTTAGCAATCCAGTTTTTAAACATTTCCAACAAAAGAGAGACCACCGACTCCCAAGATGAATTGGAACATATCTTATTACTGTATTGGGATTTTTTTAAACCTGATATCCAAATAGAATCTAATTTCACATAATTAACCCCATTATTTTTTGGCCTGTCTACTACAACTCTACAGGGAAGATCATAAGGTTCTTCTTAACAGCTATCAGTCCCAAGCCCTTTATCCCCCATAAATTCCCTCCAGCCCTTCATCATCTATATTATTATAATGAATATATTAAATTATCTAGATGAGATACTCATTTTAATTTCCATGGTGATTGGGGGGAGGAAGGAAGTACTATATTAGTACTGAGAGTTTAACGAGGAAACTATGCAATGACTAAATCTACTAAATATTTCATCTATACAGTGATTCACATACACAATCTCATACACATATGAGAAACAACCAATCTGTAGGAAACTGTAGGAGAAAAATAGGCAGAGCCTGGGGACAGAGTCAAGGGAGGACTCAGCCTAGAATCCTTACATGTCCACAAAGGCTCCATGTCCAGTCCCCCTTTAATTCCATTAACTCTTATCAAGCGCCAGTTTAGTGCTGCCCGTTAGTTGACCACATTCTTTTGTATAGGCTTGAGCAATAAATCTACTGAACTGGAACTTACATGTGATTGTGATTCTTCACATCTGATAGAAATTATCCTGTAGAGGAAGATGAAGCAGTATGGTTCAAAATTGTTCCAGAAAGAAAGACCCCCAAAACAATGGGTTTACATTACAAATCAGATATCAAGAAGAGTGTCCTAATGCTACAAGTGATTCCATCATGCAAAAGGAGGTGGTGAACCTTCCTTTGTTGGAGATGTTTAAACATCTCCAAGATGATGGCCATCAGTTAAGGATGTAGTTTAAACATATCCAAGATGATGGCCATCAGTTAAGGATGTAGTTTAAACATATCCAAGATGATGGCCATCAGTTAAGATGTAGTAGTAGCGGATTTCATGATTTTCACAGTGCCTTTCAACCGTTTCACTCTATGATTCAGGGTAAGAACCTGGGGGAAAATCAGTCCTCTTAGAAATCTGGGCCTCCAATTTGCTCGGTAGTCACTGAGCCAAAGAGTTCCCATAATGAGATTTTTAGCTATTTCTCACAGCATGTATTATTAATACACCCACACATCAAGAGAGAAAGAAGGAGAGAGAAATTCAAGAGTAAACTAAAGAAAAAAGAAAAAGAAAAGAAAAGCATCTATTTTTATAGGAATTCAAATTACATGGTAACAGCACAATTGTGGATGGAAAACTGAAAAAAAAAAATCTATGCATATGCCCTTATGTACACATACATATAACAATAAGTCTTATATTTGTGTGTGTGTGTGCTTATACATGCTGAGAAAATCACTGAAGCACAAAAACATTTGGGCAAGGATGTCAAACTGTTGAGAATAAAAGTTAACAAAATAACTTCAACATATGTAAAAAATATTCCCACACACTGTCATATATAAATGTACAGTATATAAATTACCAAAAAACCGAGATTGTTTAATGCTGATAGGAGAATAATCATTGACTGAACTCTACCCATTCAGAAATTGGTTTCTTGAAAGCGGTATTTTAAAAATAATAATAATCAGGGAGACTATTTAGAGACTGTTGTACCCCTGGAAAGGATTAGAGATCTAATCCCACCCACTCACCTACTTTTTTCTCCTTATTCTATCCATTCATTTGGATGTCTTTCTCTTCTGGTGTCTTGTTGTTGTTAATTGCGAAGCCGTGTCCGACCCATCGCGACCCCATGGACAACGTTCCTCCAGGTCTGTCCTCTACCATCTTCTGGAGTCTATTTAAGTTCACACCTACTGCTTCAGTGACTCCATCCAGCCACCTCATTCTCTGTCTTACATTCCAGGTTCCTATGGAGAAAGATTTTTACAGCATCGGACTTTCCTTTCACCACCAGATATATCCACAGCTGAGCGTCCTTTCGGCTTTGGCCCAGTCGCTTCATTCTTTCTGGTGCTACTAGTACTAGCCCTCTGCTCTTTCCCAGTAGCACACCTTCCGACCTGAGGGGCTCATCTTCCAGCATCATATCTTTTTGCCTTTTAGTACTGTCCACGGGGTTTTCATGGCAAAGATTCTGGAGTGGTTTGCCATTTCCTTCTCCAGTGGATCACATTTTGTCAGAACTCTCTGCTATGACCTGTCCATCTTGGGTGGCCCTGCATGGCATAGCTCCGTGGTGGCGAACCTATGTCACGGGTGCCACAGACGGCACGCGGAGCTGTCCCTGTGGGCACGCGCGCCATCGCCCCAGAGGCTGCTCCCCTCCGCCTCTCCACATGCGCCTGTGCTCTTGCTCTCTCTTGGCCGTGGGGGGGGGACGAAATCGCTCTGGAGGCATAGATCCGGGTGGCAGAGGCCATGCCCACCCAGTGGACCACGCCCACCCAGCGGGCCACGCCCACCCGGCACCCGCAATACATAAGTGGGTTTTGGGTTGCAGTTTGGGCACTCGGTCTCTAAAAGGTTCGCCACCACTGGCATAGCTCATAGCTTCATTGAGTTACGCAAGCCCCTTCGCCACGACAAGGCAGCAATCCATAAAGGGGTTCTGGTGTCTACAGTAGAATAATAATAAAAAGTCTGTGAATTATCTTATTCTGATCAACAGTAAGCAACCACAACCGCATCTCTATCAGAACATTGGAGAAACACAGCTTCTTAATTCCCCTGATTTGTCTCCCGGATATCTCCAAAGTTTCAGCATAGCCAGAAAAGTTGAGCATAAGAGATTACTTAGTTTGGAGTAAAGCGAGTGGAGCATTTTCCTTGACTCAATTTAAAATCAAAGGTGAAGAGCACCAGACCGCGATGTTAATTTTGCTTGTATATAGTGTGTTCTATTTTAAACAAGCATTATGAACAGGTGACAAGAGCTTGTTCTGCTCTGAAGTATGAAGTAAAATGGGATGAGCACTTTACTGGCAATGTTGCAATTAGTGGAAAATGTATGTAGCTCAGGATTGAATTATTTATTTTGGCTGGCCTCTGTGCTTACTTCTCTTCCCGGACATGTTTCATTACCTCTCTGGGTAACATCATCAGGGCATGGAGGAGTGGGGTTTTCTGCCTGTTTACATGTGGTAGATTGTCCTTTCAGCCTTGATTATTTCTTTTCCTTGGTTGCTTTTGGGGTGGGATATGGTTTCTTCTTTATTCTTCTTTATCTGGTGTTGGTTCCTGCTTATCTGGTTGTTAATTAACAGAGACATAATGAGGAACAGTGTGTGTTTAGGTCTGTTTGCCTCTTTCCTTCTCCTTTGGTTGCTTCTCTTCTTGAATAGTGTTTAGGTGAAGCTTAATTCGATGCACCTATAGATGGATAGTTCATTCAGAGTCACATCTCTATGGCTTTTCTTGCATTTTTGAATCTCAATAATAAAGGTAACTGACGGTTAAACTATTGGTTTTAGGTGTTTTCTGAACTTGATTGTTTTCCTGCAGATGCTAGTTAACACCATCAGTCTATATGTAAGCCCCATAGGTAGACCAGACCAAGAAATCATCTCCAAAGGAAATCTAAATAAAATACTTTTATTCAGATTGGCTGTCATAATAGAATTTTGCAAGTCTGATTGTGTTGTAACTTCTTCTCCTTCATTTACTCCAGGTGAATTAAGGAAGTGTCTGTCTGAGCCACTTCTGAAGATTATCTGAACATTCTGGACTTAGACAAAATGTTTTACCTCTTGTTTACAGAGCTCGTGTCCCTCCCTCAAGGTCACCTTCCTTAATCTCTACAACATGGGAGACTTGATTTGCTGGTGGCTTATTCATAGTAGCTTGCTCTGCCAGTAAACCCTATATTCTCATGCACAAATGATGTTATGTATCCTGGTCATGAAATATCTTACAGGAAAATATCCAAGCTCAGTGAATTTATTTAGAGCTGGCTTGGTCTAAGATATCTGTAGTTTTCCAACAGAAACTGTGGTTGCCTCGGGCATAAATTTTCCTCCTGATAATTAGTTTTCTGTTTGGAAAAAAAACACATTTACTTACTTGTAATTTATTACAAAAATCTCCCATTTGAAACCTAATGTAACGTTGCTCAAGGTTTGCAATCTTAATGTGGAACTAAGTATGCAGACAACGCTTAGGGTTCTACGTAGCAATGGTAACTGATTGCTTGATCAATTTCCTTCTATCAGGTAACTCCTTGCTTTTGAACTCATCCATGCAGCCTGACCTGACTGTCAGTAGAACCTACAGTGGACCCATATGCCTTCAAGATCCCATTGACAAGGAGCTAATGACAGAATCCTCCCTCTTCAACCCTTTGTCTGATATCAAAGTCAAAGTTCAGAGTTCATTTATGGTGTCGTTGGGTGTGACAGAACATTCGGAGTATCACGGGAAAACTCATTCCGGGACGTTTCCGCATGACAACAACAAAACTTTCAATCCTGTGCATGTGAAGAACAAAACGGCCTACATCCAGAATCTCTCATCCCTTTCCAAGCAAAACGATATGAGGGCTACCAGCATATTTGGTCATCTGGGAGGGCGTTTAGGAATTCCCAACACAGGTGGGTTTCTGCCGAATTTGCAAACATTTGGAAATGCAGGCGTAATTGGATTTTCTCCCTTGGGTTTATTTAAAAATATGCAACAGTAATAAATGCTTCTGTCAGCTTTCTCTCAGAGGAATGTGATGTGTGAACTTTTGCATGTAGAGAAGTAACTGTGACTAGCTAACAATTTGGTAAAGCTGTTTTAATCCTCCCACTGAAGCTGTGAGGTTTTTTTTTCTTAATTCCTAAAAAGAAGCACAATTTTTCTTTGATAGGGGATAAAATAATTTCGGACCTGCCGCAATTTAAACCTCTAAATAAAAATGATCCTTGGCTCCATTTGTTAAAAAAGGTATAGTTTATTAGAGGTCAAGGGTATTGCAGTAATGTAAAGCCAAAACTGAAAATCGTGCCAAAACTGCTAAGTTCTACTTTTCCCTCCCTTAACTGTCTCTCATTGCCCATCCCAGTATAACCAATCAGGTTTAGGCAAGATGTTTTCATAACGGTCATTCCAAGGGCAGTTTAGTACGCAGCCCCCTCCTTTTTCCAACTGGGTGACCTTGAGGCAGTGTCTCAAGGAAGTACAGCACTTACTTTCATTTCCCCAAGCATTTCCCCCTTCCTTCCCCCTCCCCACAGTTCATGGCGGTCTGCCACTGCATAGCAGCAAAACACAAGCAAGCATAAGGTGGCAGCTGACTTTGTAGAAGTGGGGAGGAGAGGATACCTTAGCTTGGAAGTGGCTGAGTGGTCTCTGTTTTTGAGTTTCTTCCAGTTCTTTGAGCGAATGGTTATACGACCAATCAACCCTGCATAATCACCTGGGAAGGTATTCTGTTCCATGATTATTATGGGGCACATAATTATCCAAAGATGGAAGAAACTGCAAGATGGAGAGAGCTTCTGTACCCACGCAAGTGAGTACAGAAACTAAGTTTAAACAGTTTCTTAAAGACAGATCTCCTCAGCCATCACCCAAGGAAGGCAATCTCTCCTGTAGTGTGAGACTTCTCAAAGATTTTCCATTTCAAATCACTGCTATTTAATTTGCTCCCCATCTCTTCCTGCACATACTTTCATGAATGGAGCAAATTAAAGGTGAATGGATAATTTGGCACATCAATACCTTAACGATTAACAGAATACTTTTTATATGGTAAGTAAGCTTGTAATCTAACATTCACTCAGTTCAATGGATGAGCTCATTCCATTTGCCGTTCTGTAGAAGAAGAATTGAGGTAACACGCTCTCTCCACCCCCAGGTTATTTATCACAGCCCTGCTGAATCCAATGGAACACACACACACAAACACACACACACACACACACACACACACACACACACACTTGCTTTCCAACTGTGGCAAATCATAAGTTTCTTTCAAGCTTCTCCCCAAAAGGCATTATGAAAATAGCCATTCCTCTCTTCTTTGGTGCACTCAAATTCTTAAGTTTTCTTTCCCTATAAAATAAGCTTCTGTTTTTTCTTACTTTACTCTTGGGATGCATTTGTTGCATATTCTTTGGTGGAAAGTGTATTTTTTAAAAACTCCATTGTAATGAAATGATCAAACCAACTGTCATTTTGGTTCCCCAAACATATCTCACTAGCATTCTGCAGCCTTTCTGATTTATTTGCTTTCTAATAAGACAAAGGCCCACAAAAGGAATTCTATTATAATGTAAATTCAGGGTAGCAATAGACCAATGAATGTTGCAAGAGGGGAGCTATATAGTCTATACAAAAATAAGGAGTCTGGTAGCAACGTTTTCAAATGTGTAAACTGGACGAGGTGCTACTAGACTCATTCTGGTTCAGGCCACTGGAGAGAGACCATACCATGAAATCAAAGCACATGCAACCACCTCAGAGCCATGGAATCATTAAAAGACCCTCGCCCCTGATTTCATTGAAACATTTATTTATTGACTTTACGGATTCTGCCTCATTCCACATGGGCATGGTGCTGTAGAATAACAGTCAAAGAATAATAACAGCAAAATAGATCTAATAATCATGAAAGGGGTCAAAGCCTTGCATAAATCACTCTTGTCAAAAATGATAGGGTGCTGGAGAAGAAGACTCCTGCGAGTCCCTTGGACTGCAAGGTGTTCAAACCAATCAGTCCTAGAAGAGATCAACCCCGACTGCTCTTTAGAAGGCCATATCCTGAAGTTGAAACTCAAGTACTTTGGCCACCTAATGAGAAGGAAGGACTCACTGGAGAAGGGCCTAATGCTGGGAAAGATTGAGGGCAAGAGAAGAAGGGGACGACAGAGAATGAGGTGGCTGGATGGAGTCACTGAAGCAGTAGGCGTGAGCTTCAATGGACTCCAGAAGATGGTAGAGGACAGGAAGGCCTGGAGGAACATTGTCCATGGGGTCGCGATGGGTCGGACATGACTTCGCAATTAACAACATAAACCAGATACACGAACTCCTGTATAGCTCTGCCTAAATACAGATGTCTTTTTCGGAATTGCTCTTCCACGGGTTTCCATCATCCAAGAGAAAACAGAGGGACCGCTGATTTAAAGGGATGAAGACCAGTCAAGATTCACTTTTAGATTCCAAATGGCGAGGTTTGATTGAATAAAAATGTATGAGTTTGTGTGTCTCTCTGTCTGTGTGTATTTGTGTGTACATAAATGCACAAAGTCCACTGAATGTTCACATCAACACAAAGGCACCTGGTGTGATTAGACTCAGCAAATGGATTTTCAGTGGAAGAGTCAACCATTCAAACAGAAAACTCACACATCTCAACTTATTATCTGTGCCTCCAGGGAAGACCTGTGATACTGTGATCTCTTAAAAGCCAGACTGAGCTTTAACCTTACTTTGACAGTGAAATTACTTTCACTTTGACTTTTTTTTTAATCGTATCCTGCAGACACTGTTCCTGCCCCTTCACTGCTCACTATATGTTAAAACATTTGGATGACGAAGAGGATGGATTTAAAAGTACAATTCCAAGCTATTGTCCTGTAAGGCAAATAAAGAACAGATCCTCCCAATTATGAGCAGTAGCTTACATGTGATATGGGTTGTTTTAGATCAAGTAGCAAAATAGCATACTCGGTTCTGCAGGATTCACAAATGTGTTTTGAAAGGTGGTGCATATTGGATTGCCCAAACATTCATATGAATGCATTTGCAACTGGGCATGCATCCCTGGACAATCGGACATGACAGTATCTAAAGCAGCGGTTCTCAACCTATGGGTCGCGACCCCATTTGGGTTCGATCGACCATTTCACGGGGGTCGCCAAGCAAGGCTGTCCATTTTTTTCCCCTTTTCCAGTGGGTGCCTTACCTCCCTTGAGCTGGGCCAGCTGGTGGTCGGCCTGCTCCGTCTCTGCCGCTTGCCAGCTACGCCTCGGCCGGCGCAGGGGGCGGACCCACGCATGCGCGGTGCTCCCGGGCAGGGAAAGTCCTCGACTTACGACCGGTTGGGTAGTCCTTGACTTATGACTGGTTTAGTCCTCGACTTACGACCGGTTTAGTCCTCAACTTACGACCGATTGGGAGTCGCGGCATTAAAAAGGTTGAGAACCACTGATCTAAAGGGCTGTCTTAAAGAAGAAAATGATCTCCGTTGTTTTAGAGGGAAGGACGTGGACATGGGTTTAAGTTTGAGAAAAGCAGATTCCAGATGAATGTTTGGAGAAGCTGCTGAATAGGAAGAGATATCTCATGCAGGATCAGTGATCTCAAGAGGGCTAAGCTTCAGGATGTATTCCTGCACAGACTGGGTCAATATTTGCTGGCATTATCAAATTGGATTTTAGCACTGTACAAGGACTTGGGCTTTAGATTCTCAATGATTCCTCTGAACAGAACTGTAAGATTCGAGGAGCTCAGATAGGTTAAAAAAAACCTCAATCTCTGAAGCACTTTGCTGTGGATTCTGGGCTGTGCTGTAATGTTTTGCTGCTGGACAGACCATCCCGTGAAAGGATCTCTTTTGTGATCTGTGCTATTCAACTCATCCAGGGGACAAAATTGTTTATTCCCCAGGAGAAGAGGGTAAAAGAGGTGAAGAGAAGGCAACACACTGAGCAGGGTTTAATTGCTGATGCACATTTATCGCTTTGTATATCATAATAAGCACAGCCACGTTATCAGTACGGGTCAAGATGTCATTCCTATTTAAGTGAATAAATTAGTAGGCTTGGTACCAAGATTCATTTAATTGCTAGTAAGAACTGCTGCATGGTAGAAAAGCTGGCGACTTCACTGAATTATCTATGTTTGGAAATCTTAAGGGAGAGGGGTTTCCATTCTTTTCCCCCCTCCTTCTCTCTAATATTTTGTAGGGTTGTTTGGGGACCACACCCGTCCCAAACAGGTGGAATGTACTGTAACTCCAAGTCACTTGCCTTATTTATATCTTTTATCTCTGTCCTATGGCACCGAACCCTTTTTAGCAACTTTCCTGCCCCCTCTGAACGTGCTGCTTAATTTCATTTGCTACTTTTGCAGAATACAGCTGAGACAGTTTCTTGCCAATTTTGAGGGAAGAAATATGTGAAAACACCCATGTACGTTGTGAAAAAGGCTTAGCGCAGCTTAAGATGCAAAAGGAATGGGGAAAATATTTTCCTTAGAGACAGCTGGGGTTCTTTTTTATATGCACCCATGAAATCTGCTAATAATGATCTTTTCCAATATATTTTAGGCATACATATTATTAATGCTGTCATCATCATCATCTAACTAAAGTTTCTTGTGGCCGTAAACCAGCCTCAAAAAATATTTATCCATTAGTAGTATGTTTGTGCGTATGTGTATGTGTGCATATATGTGTATTGGTGTATATGTGTTTGTGTGTGTGTGTCTACGTTCAATACACATAGCAACGTTTTCTAAAAACAAAGTCATCATTGACCTATGATGCCTCACTTTCTGTGCACCCAGGGATTGAGTGGGTTTGTGTGCTCAGTTTGATTGTTTTTCATACCAATGGTTCCAAAAATCTCCAGGCTATTTTCTCATAGAATTGGCCAGATAAATGTTGTCCTATAGGAAGAATTTCCATTTTCTCTATTAAATGTATCAATATTAATGGACGTTACCCTCATTTATAGCCATTCTCAGGAGAAAGGGTTCCCAAACCAATTGTTTGATATCTTATAATGGGAAATCTAAAGCAAGGACATTGTGTGAAGCTCCTTTGTTATCCTTGCAATCTGCCCCCAGAAGCAGGATTGTGGCTCTCTGATGCAGTTAGCTCAGGGGTAGTCAACCTTGGCTCTTTTATGACTCGTGGACTTCAACTCCCAGAATTCCTGAGCCAGCTAAGCTGGCTCAGGAATTCTGGGAGTTGAAGTCCACGAGTCATAAAAGAGCCAAGGTTGACTACCCCTGAGTTAGCTGATAGTTGTATATACTATCTGAAAGAGTCCTCCAAGTGATATATGGGGAAGTGGCTGTGATGGGCACCCTTAACGACCAATTTACAATGCATGGATCTGATCTTCAGAGTGATATTTATACAGCAACTATTTCTCCTGTTAGAGGAAACAATGTACAGGTGAAAACATGTTCTTGTTTTTACGTCTGTCATTCAGTTTGATGGCAGATAAATTTCTTTAGAAATTCGTCCAAAGGATATGAGAATTGTAGACAAATTCTCATAACACTCCCTTATTTAATTCCCAGGCAGCCAAAGGCATGTGTGAATGTCCTGTCTTTCACTGTACAATTCTCTCTCAATAATCTGCAGTTTTCTTGGCTTCCCAACTTCACTTAAATCCAAAGGGAAGACATTACAAGAGAAATTCTCCAGGAGCTACTTCAGTAAGAGTCCTTCAGCACTAAGGGGGGAAATCCTTGATCCCTTGAGAGATTGTTGAAGAATTTCAAGTAAAACATCCACCCAATTTGAGAACTGGGCAGAGGATTTTGAAAGGTTTTTTATGCCCTGTTCTGCATGGTGATATTACTGTCTCTGGGAAAGGATGGTTAAGGTAGAGAAGTGCATGGAACAAAGGCCACAGCAAGTCCACCTGAACCATCTCTGATTAGAATCCAACTTCATCATTTCATATTATTAAATATCTAAATTTTAGGCTATATTTTCAGAGGAGAAATTCATCAGAAACCAGCGGGATAAGGATTTTGCATCAAAACCCTTGATACATGTGAACTTCCCAGATACTTTGAAGAATTATTTTTAACCCATACCTACACAATTTAATACTGGAAAAAAAACTTTTTGCCATATTAATAGAAGTATTACTGCAGTAGGCTATTAAAAAATAATCAATATTGTTTTCAAGCGCTTCCTGCAAACAAAACATAATTTTACCTGAAACCATGGAGAAAGATTGCTCTGCAAATATTCCAGTATAATAAATGCTTATCAATTGAAACATGATGTTTGTTGTACTATTCAGATGACGGCAACAGTGATTTATCTACCGCAAAGCCACGATAAAAGTGATGTGTTCCTTTTGTCTGTTGCAAGTTCAGTTCACCTTAATTCTAACAAGCACTTGGAGTGTTTCCAAGTAATTTTTGTCCTTGCTGTTCCAGGAGTTAGCCTGCTAATTCCCCATGGGGCTATCCCTGAAGAAACATCTTGGGAGATCTACCTTGCAATCAACCATGATGAATCCAGGTAAGGCAGGAACAAAGTCTGATACATATATTATCTATTTAACAGGCAAGGCAAGACAAGACAAGGCAAGGCAAGGTGGGAGAGGGGAAGGGAAGGGAAGGGAAGGGAAGGGAAGGAACAGTTACTGGTTTTCTCATTACTTTGTATTATACTACTGTTCCGCAAGTCTTATTGTTCTACTATTGCTCTTTTGGGGGATGGATGGCTTATAATTCATAAACTGTGATTTCTATTGCTTCATGTTAATTTTTACATGACAAAAAATTGCTGTATAAATGATTATTCTTACTCCTTTTCTGAAGTAGTTTTACAGGTGCTAGTAGCAACTAAATGATATCGTAAACCAATTGTGGCAGACCTAGTTAAGTAAGGCAAAGTTCACATTCCAGCTAGGTAGAATTAGACAGGCAAAATGTGGGGGTTTTAAAGCAAAGTCTAGGTAACATCTTGGCTAATTCCGTGTCAGCCAGGCACTGATACAGGAAACGAGTCCTGCCGGAATTAAGAATGGGAAGATAAATAGCAGATGCAAGAACATTTCAGTATTCTCTATCCTTTTGAAGCTAAAAATGGGTTTCTCATTTCTAACTTTGTGTGCATTTAAAGACAGATGTTGGTTTAAATGAGCAGTATCCATTCCTCATATGCAGCTGAAATTCAGTGTTCTCCTAATGGTCTGAAAAGTGAAAGAGTATTGGAGAACGACATATTTTTTGGGAAATCTGAGATACTTTGGGGATTTATTTACTTTGGGCAAATATCTTTAATAATAACAACAACAACAACAACAACAACAACAACAACAATAATAATAATAATAATAATAATAATAATAATAATAATAATAATAAAAGTTGGAAGGGACCTTAGAGGTCATCTAGTCCAACCCCCTGCTCAGGCAGGAAACCCTATACCATTTCGGACAAATGGCTGTCCAGTCTCTTCTTAAAAACTTCCAGTGTTGGACCATTCGCAGCTTCTGGAGGCAGGTTGTTCCACTGGTTAATTGTTCTAACTGTCAGGAAGTTTCTCCTTAGTTCTAGGTTGCTTCTCTCCTTGGTTAGTTTCCATCCGTTGCTTCTTGTCCTGCCTTCAGGTGCTTTGGAGAATAGCTTGACTCCCTCTTCTTTGTGGCAGCTCCTGAGATATTGGAACACTGCTATCATGTCCCCCTTGTCCTTATCTTCATTAAACTAGACATACCCAATTCCAGCAACCGTTCCTTATATGTTTTAGCCTCCAGTCCCCTAATCCATAATATTATAAAACCCTAATTAGCAATTGTTTCAAGCATTGGCCCATCTATCCTTGACCCTGTTTAGCTCTCTATGGTTCCCATCACCACCAACAGGTGCTTCTGCAGTGTGTGTCTGTGTATCTGCGTGTTTATTCTTGGGTTCCTCTTATGTTTTAATTCTGCAGATTCACTACTTGTTAATACTGTGATAAAGTGTTGATTGTTCCCAGCCTCTGTTGCCTGGTGATTGTTGCAAATGCTCTTGTTTATTGTGAGAATTAGATTTATTATGCCCATTCCCTTCACCACCCTTGTTGACTTGATTCGGTGGAAGATCCCCAACAAACATTTCTACACTGCAATAAAATAAGCACCATTAAAGTGATCTTCATTCAGCTCTGTGCTCTTTACTACTTTAAAGCATAATGCACCAGGATTAATTAACCCAAGTATTTTTGTTCCATCTCTTCTTTGATTGGAAAAAAAATGTCTGTTAGTGGGGAAAAATCAATCTGGGATCTCAAAAGCATCATATGAACTCATCTTCTGGGCCATGAAATATTGTGCTGTCCTGCTTTATAATGTAGGTGGACTTCAAGGGATCAAGAGAAGGGCCAGAGAGAGAATGGAAATGCAGACACTTCTAAAAATGTACTGCATATTTTTTTTCCCTAGTGCAGCGGTTCTCAACCTATGGGTCGCGACCCCATTTGGGGTCGATTGACCATTTCACGGGGGTCGCCAAGCAAGGCTGTCTGCCATTTTTTTCCCCTTTTCCAGCGGGTGCCCTACCTCCCTTGGGCTGGGCCAGCTGGTGGTCGGCCTGCTCCGTCTCTGCCGCTTGCCAGCTACGCCTTGGCCGGCGCAGGGGGCGGAACCATGCATGTGCGGTGCTCCTGGGCAGGGAAAGTCCTCGACTTACGACCGTCTGGGTAGTCCTCGACTTATGACCGGCTTAGTCCTCGACTTACGACCGGTTTAGTCCTCGACTTACGACCGGTTTAGTTCTCAACTTACAACCGGTTTAGTCCTCGACTTACAACCGGTTTAGTCCTCGACTTACTATTGGTTTAGTCCTCGACTTACGACTGGTTTAGTCCTCGACTTACGACCGGTTTAGTCCTTGACTTATGACCGGTTTAGTCCTCGACTTACGATCGGTTTAGTCCTCGACTTACAACCGGTTTAGTTCTCGACTTATGACTGGTTGGGGGTCGCGGCATTAAAAAGGTTGAGAACCACTGCCCTAGTGTATCTCCTATTTCTGCAATTGTTGTTGAGATTTACATCTCTGTCTTGATGGGGTGGGGGAGGAATGGAGAAAGACTTTCTTTGCATAGAATACAGTAGATGTTTATAACAGATATGTCAGGAAACTTACCAATAATTCTTGTTGATGCTTGTGCTTAAAAAAAGTGCATGTGGAGGAGAGAAAGAAGACGGAGGGTTTTGATGCCTGGAGATTTCTGTTCCAAAGTTAATCCGAAGTCCTTTAGGTTCTCTCTTCCCTTTGATAGCTTAGTTCCCTTGTGAGACCTTGTATACTGTATGTCCATCTGTTCTGAGTCCTTTTTGGTAATGGTTAGTGAAAGATTAAATATGAGAAGGGACAAAAGAACGGAACAAAATATTAAAAAGAAAAATCTGCAAGTTTGAACCTAGATAATTTTATTGCAAAGTCATGGTAGAAATGAATTAAAATAGGTTAATTAAATAGAAGGCACACAAATCTCTCCCGGCTGTTTGACTTCTGTAGGCTAAAAGTGGGGAGAACAAGCTAGACCAAACTAACTTAGGAGCTTTGTTTGCTGAAATTCTTGGGGGAAAATATCAAATTAAACTTTAATTAAAATTCTGCACATTTTTTTCTCTTTCAAGGAGTTGACTGGGCTGTAAGTATATTCCAACTCTTTTCAGAGAAAACATAGCTACATCAGTGTGTGTGTGTGTGTGTGTGTCTGTGTCTGTGTCTGTGTCCCTTGCTTTGGGAAAAGTAGCTTTTTTTTCAAAGTTCATTTCCGTTTATCCCAGAAATTATGTCTGGGATAATGTTTCTCTTCTGGGGGAAAAATAACCCAAAAAGCTTTTGGTATGTCTTCTACATATTACAACCTGGCATTGTCTTAATCAGATTGTTTGATTTCTTTCTTTTGTTTGTTCATAAAATGCTCAAGTTATTCTGGGATCCTTTCATCTTCCTTCCTTCCACCATTATCTATCAACATTTATTGGCTGCAAAATAGATTAAGGTATGCACTTGAAAATCAGGTGAAGTCCTGGTCCAGCAAGGATTTTAAGGTGTTGGATGAGTGCTTTGAACCACTATAAAATGAATGAATGAATGAATGAATGAATGAATGAATGAATGAATGAATAAGAAACAAGATAATTCATGCTGGTTTTGGTTTGAGGGTCACAAGCACTGAAAGCATTAGTGGCTCATTCATAGCCTTGATAGTTTTGCATTCATACTTCATTTCTTTGAGGGGACGTTGTATGCTCTCGATAGGATCTGTTGGAAGAATGTAGATTAGAAAGAACAAAGCATGAATAGTGTTATTGTTCAGATCATCCTAGGAACATCTTGTAAGCAAGTCATCAAGGCTAATGTTTATTACAGGTATTGCCAAGTTAAACTATTCTTCAAGGAGGAAAGATAGAAGTATAATACTATTTAAAAGAGGTTTAGACCAAATTTTATGTGATTGCTTGAAGAAAATATGTTTCCTTTCTACAAAATTTAATATCTACAAGTCTTTGTGCAGAAGAGGAAGAAGAAGAAGAGGAAGAGGAAGAGGAAGAGGAAGAGGAAGAGGAAGAGGAAGAAGAAGAAGAAGAAGAAGAAGAAGAAGAAGAAGAAGAAGAAGAAGAAGAAGAAGAAGAAGAAGAAGAAGAAGAAGAAGAAGAAGAAGAAGAAGAAGAAGAAGAAGAAGAAGAAGAAGAAGAAGAAGAAGAAGAAGAAGAAGAAGAAGAAGAAGAAGAAGAAGAAGAAGAAGAAGAAGAAGAAGAGAGGATATTTTGTGAAAGGGATTGCAAAAATAGGGGAAAAAACTCAGATTATCCAGATGTTTATGGATTTATCATTGTTATCAAACATTTCAGTTAAGAGATGTTTTTAGGGGTACCAACTCACTTCACAGGGAGGAGTAAGACAAAATAATAAAGGTGGGATAAAAATCAAATAAATAAAATAGACACTACCCAGTTTACAGTGTTAGTTGGAGTATGGTTGTCATCGCAGTTCTACACTTGTCTGGAATGTGCAGTGCAAGTTTGCTTTCTAACATATAAACATTTCTAGGAAAAAAAAAAGTGCCTGGGGAACTAGCATGCAAGAATAAAAGTGAATGTAATGTAAAACTGAAGAGCACCCAGTTCAGAAGACAACATAATATGATACTGTATTGACCATTCATTCATTCATTTATTTATTTTGTCTATGGAATAGCATACATGGAGTAGCAATACACATTACCATTTCACCAAGTTTAGTAAAACACAATAAAATATAAATGTTAAAAAGATCTGTATTCAAATACCAATGTCTAGGCCATCTAACCATTGAAGTACAGCAGTGTTGACCACTAGTGGTAGTGCTTATGTGTATATTTGTCATATGTGTATACCAATGGTGGAATTCAAATACCTGAACAACCGGTTCTCTTATTCGATGCAGGCCTGGGCCTCCGGGGCCTAGAATGGACTTCCGGAAGTGGCATCCATGTACTTCCGGTGGGTCGTTCTAAGCCTGGGAGGCCTCCGA